TTCTAGATAGCATAGAGAACACGATTAAACATACAAATTATCATACTTACACTGCGCGTTCCATTATGAGAAAGTCCTTCTATTTCCTCATCTACTCCGACTCTAGAAACGAAAAAATAGTTTAAGTGGCACAATAACAACCGCAAACAATTGTATTTGTAATCAATTAAATGGAAACAAGGATCAAGAAGTTAATATAAAAAAAAACTGTTTTTTTTTGTATAATTTTTACATTAATAAAAGTAGAGAAACACAAATTGAGAGATGTTGGGTTACATTTAAATGTTTTACTCACGGAATATTAAACCAGCTTAAAAATTGTGTTGTTGCGCCACCTTGAAAAATAACTGTCAATATAACAATCAAGCTAGTCGTGGTCAGCATAGCTTGTCTGGCGTCCGATACGGTGTTCCTGATGGCAAGAGCAAAGCTCATGGCACCACGCAATCCTGCGAAGAACAGCATGTGCTGATAGTTCAATGATATCTTTGGCTTTCGCGCCAGATTTAATATAAAAGACAACGGATAAACGTTAGCCGCGCGACCCAGTAACGCGCACAACTGTGGACAATGTGTTAAGGATACCATATTTTACTAATTAAATTAATCGAAAAGAATTTGATCAATATCTATTTTATATATCGCATTAAACTGAAACAATTCTCTCATAGAATCTTTCAATCTAGAAAAGGAGCGTCCAGTGGTACGTTCCGCAAATATACACGTCATGTAAGGATACAAATCCTGCGAAGATAAAGCCAGGATCGAAATGATGTTTCGGAAAGGTGAACATCGAGACACCGATGTAACTAAATATGAAATTCTCGGCCAAGAAATTCAACAGCTCGAACAGCTGTTTCGTGCGCTGACGCGAGTCCGGGCTCAGATTGTTGTACGTGTAATGAGCTTGGCATATTCCACAGAAGAGAACGGCAACAACGCCTAAAATTTTGTAATAAAATACTTATTAGATTAATGCGAAAGGTTTGTCATTTTTTCTATTAAATTCTGTTCTTTAATAAAGGCACTGATTCTAATGTTTCTTGAAAAAAAAAATGAAAGAAACTTATTTTTAGGAAAAGCTATTAAACGGTGACTATTTTTGTTAATAGATACTGGTTTTTTTTTTAGAAAAAAGATTTGGATTATTTTTGCTTCTAATACCATAATCGAATATTGCAATGAGAGACTAGGGACCACGGTCGTGAATACAGGTCTGGAAACTCTAGTAGTGGGGGGTGACTCGCTTAGTGAAGTCATTTTATGTAGTTGACACTATCACCACCTGGAGCGCTGGAGGTTAGAGATTTTTTAAATAACGCAAATACATATTTAAATTGACATATAACATATAACATATGACATATAACATATGTCATATATTATATATAACATATTACATATTGACATATTGAATGAACGAACGTACGAAGTCCTAGAAAGTGATTAAATTGACAATGAAATTAATGATATTGTGTCGTGCCAAATTGCAACCTGTTAAATTGCTGCAGCAGCTTTTAGCGTCATTAGTAGAATTAGGTTTATATTCATTTGGCAATGAAGTAGCTAGCCTTTGCTGTGATACAATCCAAGCCTTGACCATGCACATTCACAAAGAAGTTACGCAAGGACGGCGGTGCAAAGACATAATGGCACCCTTTGAACGTAAGTTTTTACAAGCGATAGCTTATGAGCATATAAACGTACCTTTTAGGATACAGCAAATTTTGAAATATTAAATTTTGCCTTTCAGTTGCTGATAAGTCTCATTTTGTCACATTAAATGGATTCAGATCTGATCTCGAACGCCAGTACGCCTCTTTACCATCTCATATATTGCTATCAAGAACAATATCAGCAACTTGTACAGAATATTGTATCCAGTCAAACGGATCCACAAATAGCACAAAGATTAGCGAATGGCATTCACCGAGCTAACGACGGATATAGACTTTAGTATGGACTTAAATAACCGTCCTCAGAGATTGAAGTTCAAAAGTAATTTAAATAAATTTGTCGTGAACATACAAGGATTCTTAATGGTTAAGTAAAATAGAAATTAAAATGTAAATAAACAAAAATAAAATCATTATTTAAACAATACACCCGTGGATTTAATGCTTAACGCTTGGAATTTTTTAACGAATTTAGTTAACGACGTATTTGTAGAAAAATCGAATTAGTTCAGTTCATTGCTTTAATCATATTAATTGTACGGTGTACGATGAGCATTTTTAACATATAGATGTATTTTATTTTATTTATGGATTTTATTGCAAAAAGGGGACTTAAGCATATAAGCTTTTTATTTTATTTTCGTAAAATAATTATAAAAAAAATCAATAGTCAGAATCGAACTAAAAACGGTAAGACTGCAAGGCGGATCTCTTGCTACCACTCATCCATATTTGAACTCATTTAAAACGTTGATTGAGCCAACTATTTACAAAACTCGCTGCTTTTTGCATATACTATTTTCTATCTTACATTTATTATAAAAATATTGTATTGGTTAAGGCCTCCGCAATGAAAAATATAAGGAACAAGGAACAGATATTAGCGATTAATGTTATTCCTGATTTCTTATTTTTAATCGCTAATATCTGTTCCTTGTTCCTTATATTTTTCATTATGCGGGAGCCTTTACGGTGAAACGGATTAGTGGACAACGCGTATGCGTGATAAAAAATCCTTGCAACGCAGCGACGCGCGTGGTCACATGGCAAACCTATGAAAATATCGTCATTAAGCGAGTCATCCCCACCACCAAAAAAACGGACGAGTTTCCGGACCTGTATTCACGACCGTGCTAGGGACTCTAACGCATACACAAACATTGCGAATTACCTGTAAGATCGGTAGCTTCGGCGATTAAAAACGTACTGTAGGACATTAGGACGAATAACGCTGACTCCAACAGAGGAAAGTCTCGCACCCTGGTGAACTTGGTCAACAACGCGGTGATACACCCCATAGTAGCACCGATAAAAAGGGATAGACTGAATATTTCAACGAAGTCTCCAAATGCCTGGAAGAACGCCACGGTCTCGAAACCGCCCGATCCTGACTGGTACCGCTCCGCGTAGTTCTGTATCGAACTGAAATACAAAAACTTATGTATTTCACTTGTTATATAATATTGCTAAATTATAGTTACAACGTATTAGACAATTTCAAGTAACATCCACTTTTTATACGGAATCTATCTCGACCGGCCACGTCTTCTTCGGCCGATCTCGAATCCTCAATTTTTCTGTCGCAAGAATTTCTTTACAGAAAGAATCGATTCGGCCAAAGAATCTGCAAGACAAGGAAAATGCAATTTGATTCCGTGGAACATTGTACATACTAACCCACTAAGTACAATGGCGACCGCATCGTTTAGCACACTCTCGCCGAACACCAAAGCATACAGATTAACGTCTACATGTAGATCATTAAAGATGGATATTATTGTCAGAGGATCCGTAGGGGATATCAATGCGCCGAAATACAGAGTATCCAGAAACGTAAATGACGTGGAGAGATGTGGTATCAGTTGTATAAAACCGTACATCAGAGCTCTGCGCAGATAAGACAGTTTGACTTAGGAAAATAAGACTTATAAGACATTAAAAGAAAAACACAAATTGTTTTCAGTTACGAGACGCGAGAAAAAAAGCAAATAAGCTCGATCAAAGCACGAGTTATGCATAATAAGATACACAGTAGTTTACAAACATATTTTGCTTGTTGTTAAGAGTTTGCAAACAGCTGTTTTTTTTCTTAGGCAATAATAATGAGAATTAATTAATCAAGTGTGTGTGAAACAAATAATGGCGCTTTCTTTTTAAAAGATAGAAAGAGAAAATATCATTAACAATATAAAATATATAATAATAACAGACATGATATTAAACTGATGCTTTTTCTCTCAAAAACTCTATAATAAAATAAGAACATTAAAATAATATTAAAGAAAGAGCTTACCCAATAACAAAAGCTGATATGGAGGTTCCTATCAAAGCATACATAAGAATCGCACCCAGATTTCTGAAGAAGTATCTCTGCAAGAATTTGTTCATCAGAAAGTTATATATAGGAATCAAATTGTATATCTCTATTGTCTTTCCAACAAAGAAGCAGGAAGCAGGTCAATGTACTTACACGCTTCAAGCTGTAACCAGCATGGAAGATAATGGGAGGTAATATGATATTGAAAAATATTTCAGGATCGAAAGTTGCCTGCAATAATAAGCATTACTGTTAAATTAATTAATTTAAAAGCAGACTGACTTAAATTTAATGTGGCAATTATCTAGGCTCGTTTAAAAATCAAACTACTTTCTTCAGACAAACCATGTAACTTATCATCTCATGGAGGACTTATTTACCTTCAAATCAATTTCGTTATCTTCCTTGTAGATTTCGCCGCGAAACGAGTACGCAAACGTTTTGTTCTTTACGATACCGCCACCTTTGTCTTCTGGGAAACGTAACCACAACGTATCCGGTGGTACAGACTGATTATATTTGCTGGAAATATCCGGAACCACTGGCATATGCAAAATAGTGCTGCTTGTTGTGAACCCATAACGTATTATCGCTCCTATGATCAAACCTGTACCGAGCAATTTCATCCTAAATAAGAATTATCCTAGAATCATCCTTAACATGTTACTAGCAGCAATAATTAAAATTATACTTAAAAAATGCATTTAACTTCATGTCAGATCCAAAAATAAGAATAAGCTATAAAATAACACTCACACATCTCTATTTTGAAGACAAATCTTGAGAATTAAAATGATACGAATAAGTGAATTTTATTCATCGCTACCAAACTTAAAATTAACTACTAACCGTTCAAATGTTTAAAAACAATAATAACACATATACTACGTTTACGCGAGCGTTACTTCTGTAGTAACTTACGATAATTCCTTCGCGTAAACGGGATTTTGTTAACGAGAATTGAGAGATGACTCTTGGTGTATATATTTAATAAGTCCGTGCCAGTTGAGTCTCGAATAGTCCTGAGTAGAGTCCAGTCGCAATTACGTTCGTTCCTGCAGATACCTTTGTACCAGACTTATTAAATATATATATCAAGAGTCATCTCTCAATTAATTCTCGACCATCCTTACAGTGATAACTTACGATAATTTACTCCGTGCAAACGAGTGAATTATTGTAAGCTACTACAAAAATAACGCTCGCGTAAACGTAGTAATACACTAACTAAAGGAAAAGAATCGTGAATTGTTGATAGCAGACGACTCTCACCATAGATGACAGCCAAACCAGTTTCATGGAGGAACCTCAAGCGGCGGTGCTTGAACATCCATATCGTTAAAACGGTTAATATCAATAAAAACGTGTAGAGCAGAAGATTGAGGCTGTCGAGCCGGTGCAACAGCTGTGCTTTGGCGTCCAATTTAATGTCCGTCGCTGCGCCGTTGCATAGTCTCAAGAAAAAAGTACATAGAACTGTAAGGAGCAGGGGACGTACACCACCATTCGCCGCCATCTTTGCCAAATGTCAGGCGATATCATGAAGCAGAGAGAAAACTAATAGCGAATTCGGGCGCTTGCACTAGTGCACACTGAGTGCGCACTAAGGCTTGTTTATAATCCATTCTTATATTTAAAGTCGCTTAAATACACATTTAAAAACTTTTTCGCCAATAAAACAATCTGTAATATTTATATGGATGCTGTACAAATCATTTTATAGACTAAAGTATTTAAAATGATCTGTAAATATAATAATTGATTAAGAACAAGCCTTAGTACGCACTCAGTGTGCACTAGTGCAAGCGCCCGAATTCGCTATGAGAGCGGCCATCCGGCCCATCCGGGGTGTCCGGGGGGTCGATTGTGTATCTTGAGAAACGAGGTAAAAATTACAAAAATGAACAGATTTTACTAGATTTCGACAAATGAAATCGTAGATACGCTAATGAATTTCCTCACTTTCGTAATTTTCACACGTCAATGATGCTAGAATCCTGTATACATGATGCGGACCCGAGTCGGTTTGAGTCGCAAATCGAAAACGCTATGTTGGTACTAAAAAGGCGCGAAAAATTTGAACGAGACATGTAAACCGTTTTCCGCTCACTGCCAATATGGAACATTTATAGTATACGTAACATATATAAATGTATTATAAATTTGTTTTGTGGTATATATATCTATTTGCAGTGAATATTGAAACGCAGTAATTATTATATTTTTAATGCACTCTGTATGATATTCAGGATAATGAAATAAAAAAAGTCTTGAAATTTTATAATTTTATTTTGAATCATATAAAATTATATTGTATCTTTGTACTTATGTTGTGTCTTTGGTATGTTTATATATATATTTGTACTTATATTTAATGTTTATCACATTATATGTTATCACAAGTGTAATTACTTGTTTACAGCATTTCTCATGCCAACGCTCTTGCTTCCACTTCGAAGATTTATTACGAACGATTATTGTATTGTTAAATTTACGCACGATGAAATGAATGCGTGAAAAAAGATATGCTTTCAAGATATATGCTTTCCAACAGAATGGCACAGTGGAAATTAGTATATATGTAATACAAAGCGGCAGTAACGTTTCTAACATTTCAGATAATGTAACTACACCTGACAGAATTTCTTCTTCACGTTCTCGAAATATGAACTCTGCATTTTGTAAAAAACAATAAACCAATTCGCTACAAAATATTAGTTCTGAATATTTGTCAAAAGTGTCTGGTCGAGAGTAATTGCTTAGATCAGTATGAGAACCTGTACACGAGAAATATCACACGAAGTAGATTTCAATAAAGCCGATTTGCACGTTTCGCATCGTATGCAATGCCTATTTATAACCGTTCGTACAACTGCTCCACTAATGCCCGGTTTCTTCACCGTCGGATAACTTTATCCTTAGGATAAATTCACTCTTCATCTCTTTCTAACCTAACTCTTAGAAAGAGATGAAGAGTGAATTTAACCTAAGGATAAAGTTATCTAACAATAAAAAAACCGGACATAAGTATATATAAAGATTGACCTTCTTCTTGTTGCTTTATTTTCGCTTTAACCTTGTAGTTTTTCTTACGTAGTAATTGTATTTTTCCAAGTAATTCTTGTTTTTCAATGTCAATCGAATGTTCTGGTATTGGACGTGGCAATTCTATAATAACATTTAAAGCGATTAAAAATACATTACAATATTAAGATACTGAGAGTTGATTAAAAATTAATTATTTTACTTGTTCTTGAGAAATCTACAGAACATGGTGCATCGGGTATAATGCGTGCGATTCTGTAGAAGGATCATTATTAGTTGAAGATGATGCATCCGGTATAATGTGTGATTCTGTAGAAGGATCATTATTATTAGTTGAAAATGATGCATCCGGTATAATGTGCGATTCTGTAGAAGGATCATTATTAGTTGAAGATGGCCCATCATCTGGAAAATTTGCAGTGCATAATACATTTATATATATATATACAGCATTAATATTGTACTTTCATTCAATATTATCTTTAGATATATTATGTAACCAGATAGGAAAACTGGGCTAATATTGGACAATAATTGCAGCATTCACAATTTTATCCAAATTTTGTCACATAATATTACACATCTTTTACTATCGGGGTACATTCATTTAAAAGTGCACATACATGCATTAAAATATAAACATTTACCCATGCATGGTGTATTAGCCCAGTAAAATGACTCGAAATTTGTCGATTTGGAGGAAATAATACTGACTGGGCTGAAACTTTGTAAACAGGCTTGTTTTAGGATACTATTCAACATATTAAAAGTCCCCACGTGTAGACGCTACGTTGCGGGCAGGGGAGGGTCCAAAAGGTCCAAAAAATTAGTTTTTCGCAAATAACTCGGAAAATATCAACTTTACGGATATTTATGTAGATATCAAAATTGTAGCTTACAAAATTCCGCACAATTTCATTTTTTATTCAAGTCTGTACGACCAAATGGAGCAGAGATAGAATTTTTTTAAACACCACTAGTTTTGCGACGCAACGAAAACGCGTACGTGCGTCGCGCATTTTTCGCTAATATCTCGAAAATGGACTTTCGAATCGAAAAATGTTTTAAATAAAAGTTGTAGATAATCTAATTACGAACAATTTCGTGTTTTATTCATTTCTGTACAGTGAAAAATCGAGGAAATACGAATATTTAAATAATTTATAACCGCCATAGAAGAGATACGATGGAAATTAGTTGTTAGTCTTCTTCTTCTTCTTCTTCATTTGCACTATTTGAATAGTCTTCATCCGATTCGGAATCGCTCATTTCGTCAGATACGAACATATTTAGGCAGCCGTTCTGTTTGCAATTAGCACAGAGGTCAGAACATCTTAACTCTGCCTTTTTGCAGCCACATGACCCGGTGCAATTTGATTTGCATTTACATGCTATTTGCATTTACATGCTAATAATTTAAGAAAAAAAAATAAAAAAAAATTAATAAATTAATAATTTAATTAAAAAAATTAAAAATAAATAATAAATAATAAATTAATTTTTTTACATAAAAAATATCTGTCACACTTGAAATTCGTTTTTTTTTATTCAGAAATTCTTTTTCTAGCATTCTTTAAGTCCTTAAAGTCCTTCTGTACCATTTAAAAATTACCAAATTTGCGGCGACAAAATTAAGTATTCTTATTTAATTAATAATTATCTCATATTTTTTTCTCATTCGCACTACTTTTAGCTTTAATTTGCGTGTTTGATCATTAAGCTTCGTCAATTTGTTCGTGAATTATGATTTTTTAAATAAAACGAGTCGTAACGTGTTTGCCACGCCGCGCACCGCATACCGACTTCGGACTCTTCTCAATCTTTAGTACCTATGTACAGTACTATTGGTCCTAAAAATATCGGCCTAGTACCAAACGATTCAGAAAGACCCCAAGAATAACTTCTGACCACGGTCGTATCAGAGAGAAACCTGAGAGCGGCCATCCCGCTTCGGGGGACGCCTGTCCTAATCTGCCCTCTGAGAAAGTGGACGTCAACTACGGCGTTACGCTCAATAACGATCAGAGAGATCTCGGGTAACGATACTGTTTGCACAAGCTCGCGCACAAGCCTGAACTCTCGAATTAGATGAGGAAGGAACAAATAATAAAGAATCCGTTTATTGAGAGAGAGATTGCATTTAATAATTTAAGTAATTTGAAATGACTCGAATGGGCAGAACTAGACAAAGAATACCAACATTTGTTGCATAGGAGAAGGGAAACTGCCCGAAAACCTTCCCAGTATTCTTGAACAAATTATTACATAGATTATATAACATACAATGAAAATACAATAAATGCATAAAACACATAAAAGAAACAAATCAATAATTATCATAGTACAGTCCTTCCTTGTATTAATGACAAAATAAAAGTTGAATTCACTGTTGCATTTCTTTGTTATGTAGTCAGGCTAATCGTTAAGGAAATATTTATAGTATGTAATCTCATAATTTCTATTGACGTAGTCAAAATAAAACAGATCACGTAATGTCAAGAAAAGACTGTTCAATTCGTAAAGCAAATCAATCAGAATATAAATTTCAGTTCAAACATAATTGAAATAGTTACTGAATTAATGTATCAATCGTTGACTTCTTAATAATAATTACTGTTCATTGGCCTTTTACAATTTACCATATATAAACAACAAATAACTCCTTTTCAGCAAAATCATGTATTCAGTACAAAAAGAATAAGGTATAATAATTTCTCAATTTCTCGTATTCATAGGCCTTATGATTTGATCGACATATTAATTCACTTTAGTATGAACATAACATTCAATAATTCAAAGTTCACAAAATACTTAGCAGAATAATTATCAAGTCAATGAGAAATAATTCGCAAAATACTTAGTAGAATAATTATCAAGTCAATGAGAAATAATTCCATAGCAACGCAAGAAAACGAATAATCGGTAGTTTGATAATCACGCAAGAGACGATTTATATGATTCGCAAGGAACGCAGTTTCATTTAATACTTATTTCAAGTGAATGTAAAGAATGTTCGCAAACTAACGTAATAAATAATAAGAGATATTATCTGGTCAATGTGTTTGGCGCACCGCCGTGTATCATAGTGTAAATAGTAGCTAATTATAGGATCGATTTCGTGTTGTCGCTTCATATTGTTAATTGTACGGTTTTTGTATTGATTGGTTATACCGGGTTGAATTATCGCGCCTATTAGCGAAACGTCGGTGGACCGCGATTGCTACACTTGTCGATATTCGCGCGACTCACCCCACCCGACTCGTGCTGCCCGCCCGCGGGTGGCATCCCCCATTATGGGAAGAATTCGGTACTCGCTCGCGCCGTACTTCGCAGGTGCGCGAGCCGGAGAACGGAAGAGAGAGACTCCTCGTCAAACAGTCGGAGAGGACACACCTCTCCGCAGAACTTTTCGTCAAGCCGCCGTGCGGCACACACACACATATTCGCAAGACAGCCGTCTTACGGCAAACACATTTTTGGTCAGCCGTCTTACGGCAGGGACTCATCAGTCGAACGTCGTGAAGCTCACACGTTACCGTTTTCGCGTGTG